GGATTTCTGCTGTGTAATGGTCGCGGTTCGCCGCCCGTCACCCGTTTTCCTGCAAACCCCTTCCTTGTCCCAGGTTTGCTGGAGCGGGGGAGGCGGCGCGGAGGCAGACCCCTCCCGGGTGCCGCTGGCTCGCTGTGCTGGCAGGACGGTTGATAAAGCCCCCCGGGTTTGCTGTGTGGCAAAAGACAGACGGCTGTAACTTTAAGAAGCGTTGCCTTGTTGGGTTTTGTGGGGTTAGGGGGTTTTTGGGGTTGTTGGGGTTTTTTTTTCTCGTTTGTTTTTTTTTTTTTAAGCAGGCAGGCTCTAAAGTGGAGCATTAACCCGTTTTGGGGAGAAGAGGGGATCAAAACGCTGACAAATCTGTGTTTAAAACTGAACTGCACTTCCCTTACAGGGTCACATTTAACTTGCTGCCTCTAGGCATTAAATACTGATCTGGAGATCCGTGCGTTAGGACCTGGGGAGACCCGCGTGATTGTCTTGATTGTGTTTTGGCAAGGTGTTGCTGAGCTCATTTTCTTCCTTATTCCTGTCTGGTTATCCTGAGATCCTTGATCTGCAACAAGCTGAGGCTGGAAATAATGATCTTGATAAATATTTATGGCTGTCAGCCATTTTATAGTTTGGTATTACTCCTGGAAAAAAAAAATATAAGGACCTTTTTTTGACTATCTTCTGTCAAACAGCAGCTTGTTCACTTACACGGCTGTGAAACTGCGGTGTGCGTGGCTGGAGACCTCGGGGTTCTGCTTTGGTGATCTAAACCCTGCTGCTCTGGGGACAGCGTCTGGAGAGCAGGACCAGTCCCCAACCTGCTGGACCCGGCTGGTCCCGCGCGTGCGAGTCAAGGGGACCGTCCTCGTGGGGCGTTCGGTGCTTGTATCGGGGTGCTGCTGAGGGTGCGGTGACCTGCAGGGCTGCGTGCTGGCTTTGTGCCCTCGGGGTCTGGTTCGTGGTGTTCTGTGGCAGCTCCGAGCTGGGAGAGCGTTCCCAGCCCAGCTAAAAGTTGCTGCTCTGGGCAGTTATTCCAGGAGAGCGAGCAAGGAACGACCCTGATCTCGTCTTCTTGCAGGAGACGCTTCTCAAAGCAGTCTGTTAGCTAGGTTTAATGCTGCTTTTTCTCTTTTTTTTTAGGACAACTGTGTCTTTTTGTCTTTAGGAAAGGTTGCAGTAGGTGTGGCAAAGTAAAATTGAAGCGGCAGCGCCAGCCTGCTGTGTGCAGCGGGGAGATAGGAATTGCTGTGCCTTTCCAGAAGGGCTGGTCATTCCTGTAGCAACAAAAGCAAACTCCTCTGGCTTTGAGAGGTGGGTGTGCAGGAGACAGCCGTTCACCTGCTGTTCCTCAGTGTTGTCTTCTGCATCGCTGGGCTTCGTAGAAACCCAGCACCTGTAATTAGCAAAGCCTCAAAGATCTCCCCCCCCCCCCCAAACCTTGTGTCTGGAGCTGCTGTAAAAGTGATGCAGCCGTGGTGGTTCCATTGTCTGGGGGACAGAGCTAAACCAAAAGCCCTAGATGGATGATGGCTTTCCATCATGCTGTTACCGACCGTCGGTAACCACCCCTCCACCCCCAAACTTACATTTCAGCTTCTCCAGAAAAGCAGCCGCTCTCGAAGCGAGGATGTCGAAAGTGATGTGAGGGGGGACCCTGGCAATGGGAGTCGGAGCCAGGTGAGCAAGCTGGTGCCGGCGGTGAGAGCATCTGGTGTGCCACAGGGTGGCCCGGAGGGGCGTTGGGAGGTTGTGTGGTCTGGGAGGGACTGGCAGCTTGGTGCCACCATCGAGCTGACGCGCCGGGTCAAACCCCGGCCTTACCTCCCTGGTTCGGTTGTTCTGCTGCCGTCGCCGTCTCTGCGTCCGTGGCCTTTGCTGGGAGCGTCCGCAGCTCTGAACTGTAGGTGTGGCGTGTCCGAGCTGCGGTGGACTGGGATGATGTCTCGCCTTGTCCCCTGTGCCAAGTAACTGCTTCAGAGGGGGTCTGTTGCCTTGAGAGGCCGTGGGGCCGCCCTCATCCAGTGGCTTTTTACAGGTGAGCAGGCTGGCAGGAGGAGTTGCGGGTATCTCAGCGCTGTGTGTGCTGTCTGTTGTTGTTGGGGTGGTTTGTTCAAGGAGGTTTTGGTCCGTCAGATGTGTAGAACAGGGGAGAATTGACCGCAGAAGTCCCTGAAAGCGTTAACTCCAGTTTGTGTTTCCAAGCTGTTTGCCTCACCAGTGCGAAAATGGTGTGAAACCCAGGGTGGTTCCTCGAGGCTCTGGGCAAACGTGCCCCCCTTTCTTTACAGTGCAAGTCGGGCAGGTGGGTCTCGCAGTCTGTACAGTTGCCACTTGGGAAGATCTCTGGAGAACTTCAGTTCACCTTTTCCTTTTTTTTTTCTTTTTTTTTTTTTTTTTCTTTTTTTGTCCCAAATGAAGCAAGGAGCCGTTTTAAAGTGGGTTATTTTGTGGTAGTTGTCAGTTAATGCTACATGACTCATCTTGTTTTCCTGCGGCTTCTTCTCTGTTGAGGCCGCTGTGGCAATCTGGGAAACGGGCTTGGGAAGACATCGTAGGTCTCTCTTCCCCTCTCTTGCTTTTAGATGATGCGGTAGAGAGCAATTGTTTGAATTCCTTACTTCTCCCCATCTGAAGACGTCTTTGCCCTGGTGGCATCTACAGCCAAAATATGCTCAATGAAATATTAAATGTTATCCTTCTGTACGGGAGTTTAACACTCTTCTTCGCCACCACCTTTCAATTTTGACTGGATTTTGGGGTTTGTGTCTTTTTTTGTTGTTGTTCTGGATGACTGTAAGTGCTTAGTGTCTTACAGAACCGTGGTTAGATTTACTCCCCGTGCCCCGGTCTGAAGAACCAGCCTCCCTACCCGTGTCTCCGTGTGTCGCCCTTGGAAGCTTTTTGTAGCAGCGTATTGCTGGAGGAAGAAGGGGGGCGTGTGTGTGTGTGTGTGTGTTCTTCTAGCAGGGACTGCTGGGAGTACGTGAGCTCACGCTTGTTCTGTGGGGTGTAAGTGGCTTTGGTGTCCCGTGGGTTGCCTGGTGGTTGTTTGAGGCTGGGGTTCCCAGCTCGGGTGGGGAATGGGCTGCTGAGGACTTCAGTCTCTTGCTGCCGCCTCCCAGATTCCCTGCGCTCCGCGTCTCCTGGGTTTGCCGCTCACTGAGAGCGCTCCAGGTGCGTGTTCGCTGGCTGCCAGCGCCTTGTTCTTCTCCTTCTAGACGATGTACAGGGCTGTTGTCAAAGGTCTTCAGAGCTGGGGCGTCAGGGCGTTCGTCCGTGCGACTCCCTGCTGCTTTACAGCTCGTTGCACGGCTCCGTTCTCTGAATGCCCCCCCCCCCAAATGCAGGGTGCAGTGACTGGGTCTCGCTGTGTGCCCTCTGCCCGGGCGCTGAAGAGAGGGGCAGGCTGGAGGTGCAAAGGGAGAGGCTGTGGGATGCACCGTGGTGTCCTTCCCTCCCGCCTTTCTTCAGCAGAAAGGCTGGGTGCAGCAGGTCGGCTGGCGGGCCCCCGCTGGCGGCTCGTAGGGGCATCAAGGTCAGATCGTGGCCACCAAGCCTGCCGAGGGGGCCCGTGGAGCTCGGTGGGTGTTGGATGACTCCAGAGTGTCCGTTTGTCATCCCCCGGGCTCGATGTAGGAAACGTTTGACTGCTCTGTCTGTGCTCGTAACAGGGTTTCTTCACCCGGGCTGGGCTGGGGCCCCGGCTGTGCCAGGCTGCCGTGCAGAACCGCTCCAGTCCTGCAGCCGAAGGGTGTCGGCAGCTCCCAGCCCTCCTCCTGCTTCCTGAGCTTCTGTAACGGTGATTTCCCTGGTGTGGGGTTTTGGCTTTTAGGAGTGGGGGGGAAACACACACACCCCCCCCCACCCCCAGATAGCCCTGGAGCAGGTGGAGTCTTAGGGGGTGTTGGGGCCACAGAGAGCGCCTTTGGGAGCGAGAGCAGCTGAAAGGCTTCTCGAGGGAGTTCCAAAACTAGAGCTCAGTGGGAAAGGTAGCGTCACCGGTGTTTTCTGAGGACGCTTTTGCCTGGTGAGTAATGGACTGCAGGGCACCTTTCACCTCTGCTGAAATTTAACAGTGTTTCTTCGAGTCACCCAGGCAGATTTTGCCCTTTCAGCGCTCGGTGGCTTAGAAAGACAAATATATGGAGTAATTCCTGAAGGATTCTGTCGGGGTTGACTTGAAGCAGGGGCCTCAGTACTTGCACAAGCAAAGGAATGAAGCTTGGGCTGATCTGCATAGAAAGACTTGTTCCGTGTCTATTAATCTGTCAAGAAGGCGGCTTGATTTCCTTGGATAAGGTTTAAAAGACCTTTGGTTTGTTTCCCCCCCGCTGTGTTTCAACACCTTCTTCAAGCTGCCTGCAAGGGGCTTTAGGAAACCTGTTTTTAAAGGAGCAAGGAGTACGTCTTACATTAATGAGGGGTTTAAAGGTTCTTTTCGGATCGGAGATGCTCAGTATTTTGTTCTAGGAGCAGATGAAACGGGAATAGATTCCTGGAAGTTTTCCAGGGGGAAGAGGTGTAAATGCATTTCCCAGGGCAGGTAAAACCTGGTCGTGTCTGAGGCTTCTGCCCCAGGGGCCGGCTGTGCCCTGCTGCCCCCCGCTCAGCCGCCCTCCCCTCGGGGTGCCGGGGTACGCCTGGGCGCACGTGGCCACCGGGCTTGGCTGGGAGCTGGCTGTAACCGAGCGCTTGGGGACGTGGGGACAGCATCGATCCGCTGGATCCGACCCCTTTTCTGCGCTGGGGTCCAGGACTGGGAGGGGTTGGAGTAGATGATCTTTAAGGGTCCCTTCCAACCCAAATCGTTCAATGACTCTACGAGTACTGGGTTTATTTTCTTGGCAGAGGATGGTGGAACTGGGGGGAAGGACACTTCCGAGGCTTTGCTTGGGAGCATGGCGTGTAGGTTGCCTTCCGATGGACCTGGCCACCCCTCGTCACGCTGTAGATTAATAGTTTTCTGTAGGCCCTTGTGTTGCCCGGCCCCACACCCTCGGTCTGCTCCTGACTGAAGGGACTGTCTCGTGACCAGAACTTTGGGACCGTCCATCCACGCTGAGCATCGTTTTCCACGGGCTGGAGCAGGTTAGGCAGAAGGTCGAGTGGTTTGGCCGAGTTTATTTCGCCTGAAGGGAGGCTGCCAGCCCCGGGTTGGTATCTTCCCCAGCCCCCTGGTACCGCTTTCTGCTTTTCAGGGCCCCCCATACCGGCGAGGTGGTGGTCAGATGCTCTGCTCCCCCCCGTCTCCCTGCTCCCCCCCGAGCCCTCCTGCCCGTCCTGCGTTCATCTTCGTTAGACTCCCTTCAGCTCTACTCGTTGCTTCTGCTGAAAGCTCTGGGTTTCCCCCAAGTTTGGGATTTGGTGATGTGTTCGTTTTGTTGGTTTGGGTTTTATTTTAAAAAGGGGGAAAACTAAGAGATGCTCAATTCTCCCCCTTCTTCCCCCACCAGGGTTTTCCTCGTATAATGGAGGAGGGATGAACGGCACCAGCACGATGATGGATTTCCTGGAGGAGCCCCTTCCTGGCGTGGGCACCTACGAAGACTTTAACACCATCGACTGGGTGCGAGAGAAGTCCAGGGACCGGGACAGGCACAGAGAGGTAACGTTTCTTACTGCTCCTTGCTGGCACTGAGGGCAGAGTAATTAACTCACTAGAGCTAATTTAGTTCTGATGGCAGGGCTAGGGGGGCGCTTACTAGAGACGCACCTGAGACGGAGGGATTGCCCTTAGGATGGGAACCGAGAGCCTCTCCACAGGAGCTTCAGTTTGGGGAAAAGGAACAGTAAACGGCCCGTGCTGCAGTTTATCAGTTGCTGCTGCTCTTC